CTCAGCCTTCTGAGTAGATAGGTTTACAGGCATGAGCCACCAGTGCCTGGCCTTAATTTTATTTTAGTTTTTTAAACCAAACAATTTAAGTTTTGGGCTATTTAAAATAAAGAAGACATGGCCTTTTTTATTGTTATTATTAAGATAGGGTCTCATTATGTAGTGTAGGCTGGCTTTAAACTCAAGATCCTCTCGCCTCCCTCTTGCTTCTGTCAACTGAGTGTTGGGATTGTAGGTATGTATCACCATGCTTTGTAGCATAAAATTATACTGTGATATTTGGATCTTGATCATTGATTAAATTATTTTGTCCTCTCTTACCGTATCCCAGATTTGCAGTTTGATTTGTTTTCCATCAATGTTGACCATTCGCGCTCCAAACTCCACTCCTGCCAGTAAAGACCAAGAGAATATGAGCTTCATGAACTACATATCAATTGAATGAGAGGTTTATGCTTTTGCTCAGATGCTTTAACTTATTCCTTGTCTGTTCTTAATGCCAGTAAGCCCATACTGCTACCTATTTGCTCCTGTTATTTTTGTGTTCCTTTCATTTATTCATTTCTCTCCTAGAGTTAAAAAGTTGTGTTCTAGGGGCTGGGAAGATGGCTCAGTGGTAGAGTACTTGCCTTGCATGCCTCTGAGGCCCTGGTTCGATTCCTCAGCACCACATAAGCAAAACGAAAAAAGCTGGAAGTGGCGCTGTGGCTCAAGTGGTAGAGTGCTAGCCTTGAGCTGAAGAGCTGAGAGACAGCGCCCAGGCCCAGAGTTCAGGCCCCACGACCAGACCCCCCCCCCCAAAAAAAGTTGTGTTCTAGGGCAGGGATGAAACTCAGTGATAGAGCACTTGCCTTGTAAAAATGTCAGGCCCTTGGTTTAATGCCTAGCCTCCCCACTTTCTCTTCCCCCTTATCAAAAATAACTGTTTGATAATAATGCCCTAAGAAATGTAACCTCGCAATGTTAACCCTTAAATTTAACTAATGTTTAATTTTATAATTTAAAAACTTTTATTTATTTTTATTGCCAGTCATAGGGCTTGAACTCTGGGCCTGGGAGCTGTCCCTGAGCTTTTGAACTCAAGGGTAGTGGTCTACCACTTGAGCTCCCCTTCAAGCTTCTTCTTTTTTTTATTTTCTTTTTTTTGTAGTTTAGTGGAGATAAGAATCTCATGGACTTTCCTGACTGGGCTAGTTTTGAACCATGATCCTCAGATCTCATTACAGTTGTGAGCTAGGGTACCAGCTAAAAAACTTCTAAATGTTTTCTGCCATTGTCTCAGGGTACCCTTGGTTATCTGTATTGTATGAAACAGCATTTTTTTTTTGTAATTCTAGAAATCTTCATGTAGGAAAAGTGCCGAGCCAAGAGATAAGTCCTCTACACCAATGATTCATTATCAATCACCAATTATCAAATCTCCTAGTAAAATAGCCTCTCTTGTAGAAATTTGGAAACCAACCATCTGAATTAGGCATTAGGTTTACCAAGAATTCTTTTATTTTTATTGTTTATTTTTTGGGGGAATACAGTCGTGGGGCCTGAATTCTGGGCCTGGGTGCTGTCCCTCAGCTCTTCAGCTCAAGGCTAGCACTCTACCAATTGAGCCACAGCGCCACTTCCAGCTTTTTTCGTTTTGCTTATGTGGTGCTGAGGAATTGAACCCAGGGCCTCAGGCATGCAAGGCAAGCGCTCTACCACTAAGCCACCTTCCCAGCCCCCCAAGAATTTTTTATTACTCTGAAGATACCAGACCAAGCCAGGCACTGGTGGCTTATACCTGTAATCCTGGCTATTCAGGAGACTGAGATCTGCCAGTCCTGGCAGGAAAGTCCATGAGACTCTTATCTCCAATAAACCACCAGAAAACCGGAAGTGGCACTGTAGCTCAAGTGGTAGAGTACTAGCATTGAGCTGAAGAGCTGAGACAATTCCCAGGCCCAGAGTTCAAGCCCCATGACCACCAAAGAAAAAAACAAAAGATGCCAGACTAAAATCCTTAATAAAGCCACCATATTAAAAATACTGAGATGTCTGTTAATGATAATTTCTATTTCACTTTGCAAATAGCATGAGGATCTGATTTTGAAGAAAGATCATTAATCTATCTTGCCCTAAGGATTGATATTGTACCTATTTTTGGCTGTATATGGATATGCCCAGTAGATGTTTATGGAATGACACAACAAAGCTTTCATTATTTCATCTGCTTCATCAAGAATCAAAATGCAACTAGCTACTGAAAAAATCACCAAGTTTTTTATTTTTCTTTCTGAACAATAGCAATAGAATTTCAATAGACAAGAAACTAAAAAAATAACTTTTTTCTCCTTTTACAAAATTTTCCTTAGCTGAGATGCTTACACTTTGCACATAATTTCTATCAATCTGACTGCCATGGTCCATAGAAGTGAACTCAGAAAGAAACACAGGCTAAAGCCGGGCGCTGGTGGCTCACGCCTGTAATCCTAGCTACTCAGGAGGCTGAGATCTGAGGATCGAGGTTCAAAGCCAGCCCAGGCAGGAGAGACTGTGAGACTCCTATCTCCAATAAACCACCAGAAAACCGGGAGTGGCGCTGTAGCTCAAGTGGTAGAGTGCTCGCCTTGAGCTGAAGAGCTGAGGGACAGCGCCCAGGCCCAGAGTTCAAGCCCCACGACCGACAAAAAAAAAAGAAAGAAACACAGGCTCTATTGGACGGTGGGGAAAATGTGATCATCCTACTACTCTTCAAAGCTTGCCATTGGCTACCCATAACCACTGCGAATTTCAAAATCTGATATCTATTTTTTTCTCTAGTTTTATATCTTGCTGTTTTCCACTTCAAAGTCCATGCTCCAGCCACAGTAAATTACTTAAAAATTTCCAAAAGTGGCTGCAACTCTGCCATCCCTGATACTTCCTTTGTTATTTCCCTTGCTCTGGTCATTTCCCCTTCATTTCTAAAACCGCTCTATCTGGCTAACTCCTTTTCACTCTTAATTTCCAGCATCTCCCCACTCCTAGTCTTTGCAATAGAAACTTAGCCCCCATCTCCTTCACTAGGAGCTTCCAAGTTACTCAAGAGCCTCCATGATGTTTTATTAAGCATTTCCATTAGTGCCTCTCATAGTGTGGGTTAAGTGATTATTTAATACCACAGGGAAAAATATTTTCTGTTTAATGTTATCTTCTAAATCTTTTTCTAACTCCACAGGTAGGATGTGAACATAGCAGTATGGTAAGAGCAACAACTTGGGGTTTTATTCAGAAACTGCAATTCCAGGGATGGGAATGTGGCTTAGTGGAAGAGTGCCTGCCTAGCATGTATGAAGCCCTAGGTTTTGATTCCTCAGTACCACATAAACAGAAAAAGCTGGAAGTGGCTCTGTGGCTCAAGTGAAGGAGTACTAGCCTTGAGCAAAAAGAAGCTCAGGGACAATGTCCAGGCCCTGAGCTCAAGCCCCAGGCAAAAGGAAGGAAGGAAGGAGAGAGAGAGCGAGAGAGAGAGAGAGAGAGAGAGAGAGAGAGAGAGAGAGAGAGAGAGAGAGAGACTGCAATTCCATGGCAAGAAAACTAGCTATGTAAACATTGCTTGTTTGGTCTAGCTGGAGGCTAGCAGTCCATGCCTTATTGCAAATGTGTGGAAGATGTGTGTGTGTGTTGTGTGTTGGTTCTGGGACTTAAATGCAGGGCCTGGGCACTGTGCCTGAGTATTTTTTGCTCAAGGCTATCACTCTGCAACTTGAGCCACAGTTCCGGTTTGAGCTTTTTGTTAGTTAACTGAAGATGAGCCTCACAGACTTTCCTGCCTGGGCTGGCTTTGAACTCAGATCTCAGTCTCCTGAGTAGCTAGTATTACAGTCATGAGTCATCAACACCTGGCTCTTTTTTTTCCCCCCTAAGTTACTAGTTTCATTTGCTTTTTCATTCATTCTAAGACTAGAATGGTTCCTTCTTCTTTCTTGCTTCTTTCTTTCCAACACACGCAGACAATACTTTGAAAATATGTGAGCTTTGTACTAATTTCCCACAAGCTACCAGATGAGTTTTTTAATAAGCAGTCATGCTTTCGTGTGGTTTTCCACAAATAGTCAAATTTGAAGGAAAAGGAGAAACAAAAAATACTATGGCAACTAGCCCTTACCTCACATTCATCTCTAAAGTTAGCTTTTAATTATTCATTTTATTTATAGCGTTTGATTATTCACTTCATTTAACATGACTTCGGACTAAAGTAGTAAGAAGTAATTTTTTACTTTGGACACTTAAGGCTACTAAGGCTACATCAGCAGTTTAACTAATTGGGTTTTACCTCTGCTGTTACAAGTAGCTATACTTACCTATTGTGAGGTCGTGAACAGGCTGGAATCGCTTGTCGGTAAACTGCAGGAGGAGACATGACTTGCCCACACCTGAAAGACCAGCAAGTACGTTCCAGACGGCACGCGGCCAGGAGGTGCAGTGCCCAGCTCCAGACTCGGGCGTCAGGGGCTGAGGGAGGGGAGCCCAGAGCCCCGCCCCTGGCCAGCCGCCCCGCCCCCTCCCTCTAAATGAGCCCCGCCCCCGAGGCCCGATTTGGAAGCTTCAGAACCCTGTCCCGGCCTTGGAGGCGGACTACCTGCCGGTTACCTGTGTCTCCAATGATGATATACTTGAAGAGATAAGCATAAGTCATGGTCCTGGTTCCTCTGTATTCCGGGTCGGCCCGATTTCTACAACCACTTACCTTGGACCTCTCTAGCCACTCAGTCTACAGATCTCCTCCCCACCACACTCCAGCCTCTCTAGCCCAGACCAACGTCTCTATTGTCCTCCCCAGAAAGCCTCTTGTCTCATTCCGAAGTACCCGACGCAGCATCCAGGGACGCCTCTAGCGCTTCTACCTGTCATTACCCTACCAAGCGCCAGGGGGCGGTAGCTAGCCTTTCCATCCGCTCAGAACGTGACTCCTTGCAGCCATATGATCTTCCTTCCAATCAGCAGTGAGCGACTCATACCCTTGCGGAAGTGACGCAATTCCGAGTCCAGTGGGGGCGGTGGGAGTGATGAGGGCACTGGGACGGTGGTAGCGGTTGTGTGAAGATGGAGGTAGGAACCTGGGTGCTGAGGAGGCTGGCGAGAGCGCGGCCGCCTATGTTGAAACGCAGGCGTGTAGCCAGGCGGAGAGGCGGTTGGCGGGAGAGAGGAACACTGGGTTTGGGGAGGATTGTCAGAATGTCGGGGTCAGGCTCCGTCGCTCCAGGCTAACTCCCTGCTCCGCCCTCTAACTTGTTCTCGTGTCTTTCTTCTGGTTTCCAGTTTCCCGGAGGAAATGACAATTACCTGACGATCACGGGGCCCTCGCACCCTTTCCTGTCGGGGGCCGAGGTGAGCAAGTGCTACGGACGCTGGGGAGGTGCGAGTTCGGAGGTGGGGTGGAGAGAAAGGCACCGAGGCCACAGGCTGGGGGCCTGGGGACCGCGATTGATGTCGAGGAAGGTGGCGGCGGTCTCGGGAGTCTGTGGGGACTGTTTGCGGAAGGCCCGGGAAGCTGCTGTCATCAAGAAACCAGGATGTTGAAAAAAAAAAAAAAACTAGTTGAGGAGATTGGGAGGTTCTAGATTGAAAACCAATTGAATTGGCCCATTTCATCAGGTGAAGTACCTTCAGACATATGGGGATGGAAACAGTAAGAATGCCTTGAACATGGGTTCATTCGTGAATTCTCAGGCTTTTTGCTTTTGTTTTTAGTTTAAATTTTCTACTCTGGTAAACGTGGTAACTAGTAACTTGTTTTTAGTACACATACTTGAGATCAGGATGTGGGCTCTGTCCCTCAGCTTTTGCTGCTGTCAAGGCTGGCACGCTGCCACTTAAGCCACAGCTCCACTTCTGACTTCGTTGTTTTTGGTGGGCTTTTTTTTTTTTTTTTTACTGGCTAATAGGAGATAAGAATCTCACAGACTTTTCTGCCCAAGCATGCTTCAAACAGCGAACCTCTTAGGTAGCTAGGATTACAGGCGTGAACCACCAAAAGCTTGTTTAAATTTTCTCATCAGATAAACATTGTAACTTTTATATACATAGTGTCAGCTTGCTTTGCTAACAACAGTAGGAAAGAAAATAGTTGCTAAGAGAACTTCTGAGGAGTTGCCAGTGACTCAATTTTGAGCATATTTCATATTTGTGTCACCATTTCCCCATATATGAATGACCGTAATAATAGTGTCTTATGCTGGTGTGACAAAGCATTAATGAATGTGGTGAAGCCCTAAAATACCTGAAAAGGTTTTTGTTGAAATACTGTCTTACCGGGCTGGGAAGGTGGCTCAGTGGTAGAGCGCTTACCTTACATGCCTGAGGCCCTGAGTTCAATTCCTCAGCACCACATAATTAAAAAGAAAAAAGCCGGAAGTGGCGCTGTGGCTCAAATGGTAGAGCGCTAGCCTTGAGCTGAAGAGCTGAGGGACAGCGCCCAGGCCCAGAGTTCAGGCCCCACTACCGGACCCCCCCCCAAAAAAAAAAAACGAAAGAAATACTGCCTTACCGTAAATGCACCATTTGCTTAAGTGAAAGGTCAGACAAAAATTTCCCAGTTTTGCAGGCGCTGGTGGCTCACGCCTGTAATCCTAGCTATTCAGGAGGCTCAGATGCAGTTCAAAACCAGCCCAGGCAGGAAAGACCTTCAGATTCTTATCTCCAGCCACTCAGAAAACCGGAAGTGGTGCTGTGGCTCAAGTGGTAGAGTGCTAGCCTTGAGCTGAAGGACAGCTCCCAAACCCAGAGTTCAAGCCCCATGACCCGCCAAAAAAAAAAAATCGCAGTTTTGAGAACTTCTTAAATCTTCTCTCCCCACCCCCACCGGTCATGGGGCCTGAACTCTGAACCACTTGAGCCACAGTGCCACTTCCAGCTTTTTCTGCTTATGTGGTGCTAAGGAATTGAACCCAGGGCCTCATGCAAGCAAGGCAAGCACTCTACCACTGAGCCACCTTCCCAGCCAGAGAACTTATTAAATCTTAAGCCTTCTACTCTTTATGAGGTTTAAACTATATTTTCCTTTAGTGACATCACTCATTAGCATTTTCTTATACCAAAAATCTCAATTGTTCTTGTATGGACTTAGCCTAGAATAAATCCTAATATTTCATACATGACAATTACATTGACAATGACCAGTTGCTGGTTTTTGTTGTTTGTTTTTATTGTTGCCGTTCCTGGGACTTGAACTCAGGGCCTGAGCAGTGTCCCTGAACTTTTTGATGTCAGTCTTGGAGCTGAACTCTGGGCCTTGCCATTATCCCTGAGCGCTCTGTGTGTGTGTGTGTGTGTGTGTGTGTGTGTGTGTGTGTGTCAGTCTTGGAGCTTGAACTCTGGGCCTTGCCATTATCCCTGAGCGCTCTGTGTGTGTGTGTGTGTGTCAGTCAGTCTTAGAGCTTGAACTCTGGGCCTTGCCATTATCCCTGAGCTTTTTTTTTTTTTTTTTTTTGGTCAGTCTCTGGGCCTGGGTGCTGTCCCTGAGCTCTTCAGCTCAAGGCAAGTGCTCTACCACTTGAACCACAGCACCACTTCTGGTTTTTCTGGTGCGTAATTGGAGAAGAGTCTCACAGGCTTTTTTGCCCAGGCTGGCTTTGAACCTCTATCCTCAGATCTCAGCCTCCTTAGTAGCTAGGATTACAGGTGTGAGCCACTAGTGCCCAGTTCCCTGAGCTTTTTTTCCTCAAAGCTAGCACTCTACCACTTAAGTGACAGCGACACTTCCGGCTTTTTCTGTTTATGTGATACTGTGGAATCAAACCTAGGGCTTTATGCATGCTAGGCAAGCACTGTACCATAAACCACGTACCCAGCCCTTGCTAGTTTTTTTTCTTTTTTAACTTGTTTCTTACTATTTAATAATAAGAATAGTAATTTCCCTCCTGAGCGAAGGGAAATGTGAATCAAATGAATAGCAAATTTAAATATAAAACTAAGATTTGTTAGCCTATTACTGGCAGCTCATATAATCCTAGCTTCTTAGGAGGCAAAGTTCACTAGACTCTTATCTCCAATTAACCTCCCTCCTTCCCCCTTTCCCACCCTCCCCCCCCAAAAAAGCCAGAAGTGGCTCAAGTGGTACAGTGCTACTCTTGAGTAAAAAGCTCAGGGACAGTACCCAGGCCCTGAGTTCAAGCCCCAGGGCCGTCCCCCAAAAAGGCCTAATATCTATTTGTTGCTTTGTCATCACATTGAAATTTCTTCTGAGTGAGGTTATTATTGTTTACTTTCATGGTTTGGAATATGAAACCTCACATTGTAAATCCCACATTTCCCTAGATCTGGTCTCCACGGTTTTAATTCCATGGGTCTTATAAATTTCACATTGGCTTCATTCTTGTGAAAATGCACTTTAGGACTGAGAATGTGGCTTAGTAGTAGAGTGCTCACTTAGCACGCATGAAGCCTTGGTTTGATTCCTCAGTACCACATAAACAAAAAAAGCCAGAAGCTGTGTCTCAGTTGGTAGAATGCTAGTCTTGAGCAAAAGAAGCTCAAAGACAGTACCCTGGCCCTGAATTCAAGCCCCAGGACTGGCAAAAAAAAAAAAAATGCACTTTAAAATTAAATAAAAATAGCTTTACAAATATGTTCCCTTTTGGCTAGGAAGGTGGCTCAGTGGTAGAGCGCTTGCCTTGCATGCATGAGGCCCTGGGTTCGATTCCTCAGCACCACATAAGCAAAAAGAAAAAAAGCCGGAAAGTGGTGCTGTGGCTCAAGTGGTAGAGTGCTAGCCTTGAGCTGAAGAGCTGAGGGACAGTGCCCAGGCCCAGAGTTCAGACCCCATGACCGGACCAAAAAAAAAAAGTCCTCTTTTATAAAATTGAACAGTCTATATTGAAAATATCTACATAGGGCTGGGAAGGTGGCTCAGTGGTAGAAGCACTTGCCTTGCATGCCTGAGGCCCTGGGTTCGATTCCTCAGCACCACATAAGCAAAAACAAAAAAAGCCGGAAAGTGGTGCTGTGGCTCACAGTGGTAAAGCACTACCCTTGAGCTGAAGAGCTGAGGGATAGTGCCCAGGCCCAGAGTTCAGGCCCCACGACCAGACCCAAAAAAAAAAAAAAAGAAAATATCTACATAAGACACTGATATCTTTTTGCATCCCCAGCACTGAAGGAAAAAGGAAAGAAGCCAGGCAATGGGCTTATACTTGTAATCCCACCTACTCAGGAGGCTGAGATCTAAGGATCCTGGTTCAAAGCCAGTGTTGGCAGAAAAGTCTGTGAGACTCATCTCCAATTAACTATTGCACATAAAAGCTCAACAAACACTGGGCAAGGGTGAGAGAAAAGCTGGTGGAGTGGCTCAAGTAGTAGAGTTACCTAGCAAGTATAAGGCCCTGAGTTCAAGTCCCAGCAACAGTATTAAACTGTCCACCTAGCTGAAGCCTTGGACCAATCCCCAGTACTGATATCTAATTGTCATTAAGCATATAGAAAAGTGTCATCACTCATCAAGGAAATAAATACCAATTATAGTTATTGCGGGATTTAAAGTGTGCCTCAGGTGGTAGAGTGACAGCCAAGGAGTGAAAGCATGTGACATATACAAAGAAAAAAACTATTATAGTCATTGAAAAAACAAATTCCAAGAGGTGAACAGGTTGAAGAAGTGGATAATGCAGTTAATGCTGTTACGGGTATAAATTAACTCAAACACTTTGAAACATAGCAATGTCAATTAAAGATAAGCATGCCTAACCTATGTGACCTGGTAAGCCTAGCCATTCATATATATATAAAATATACATATAATCATATATATAATCTGATATATATAGCAGAAATGATTGCATTCATTCATCAAAAACATGTCTGCTTATAGCAACTTTTTTGTTATTACTTTGGTCAGTCATGGGGCTTGAACTTAGGGCCTGGGCGCTGTCCCTGGGCTATTTCACTGAAGGCTAGTGCTGTACACAGTTGCACTTCCAATTTTCTAGTGGTTATTTGGAGATAAGAGTCTCGCAGTCTTTTCTGACTCACCTGGCTTTGATCCTCAGATCTCAGCCTCCTAAGTAGCTTGGATTACAGTGAGCCACTTGAACCAAGCTCTTGCAGCTTTTAATAGCTAACCACTAGAAGAAAATACGTTTCTATTGAAAAAGAAACTGGTAGATATTTATATACGTTTAACTCACTTAGAATGCATCAAATACTTCTGTGAGAATAGATGCTCATTATTGGATTTAACCCATAATTTTATACTTTATTTGTGATGGCAAAGCAGATTTGGTAACCTTTTGGGTTTAATATAGCATTTGGTTTGCCCGTGTACATTCTTCTCTTCCTTTTTTGGGGGGTGAAGGTAGAGGGCTTGCCAGGGCTTAAACTCAGGACCTTGTTCTTGCTAGACTGGCATTCTACTTCTTGAGCCATATAATCTGACAATTATATGTGTCAGACCATATGATAAGCCACTTCCAGACCTGCTCTTTGCTGGTATTTTGAAGATGGAGTCTAGTGGATTTTTCTCCCTAAACTATTTTTGAGCTAAGATTTTTTTTTTTTTTTTTTGGTCGATCGTGGGGCTTGAACTCTGGGCTTGGGCACTGTCCCTGCACTCTTCAGCTCAAGGCAAATGCTATACTTTTTGAGCCACAGCACCACTTCCAGTTTTCTAGTGATTTACTGGAGATAAGAGCTCACAGACTTTCCTGCCCGGGCTGGTTTTGAACCGCGATTCTCAGATCTCAGCCTCCTGAGTAGCTAGGGTTACAGGCATGAGACACCCGTGCCCAGCTTGAACTAAGATTCTTGATCTAAAAACTAACCTAAAGCACAAAGGGTTAGAGGTGTGGTTTAATTATCAGAAGACTCTTGAATTCAAACCCCAGTTATACTGATTATTTGTATTTACTATTCTGTGTATTTAACTGGTAGAATTTAAAATTTCTGTTCCTTCCATTTATCTAAGATAATTGGGGCAAGTGTAAATTAATACCTTTTCAATATCATTAGAATCAATAGATGATGAATAATGGTTATGAAGCAAATATATGTGTCAGACCATATAAGCTTTTGTGCTCCAAAGCTTATTCATCCTCAGCTGTATGAGAGGATTACCATTACACTCTGCATTCAAAAAAATGAAGGAAACCTGTTCAATGTTATATAGTAAGCAACAGAGCTGGAAAGAGCCCCTGGTCTGTAACACAGCAATGTCTTCCTATTACTTAACATACTCTTGTTGCAGGTGCCTCCATTTAAAACAATTATTTTATTTTATTTATTTATTTTTTGCCAGTCCTGGGCCTTGAACTCACTCTGCCACTTGAGTCAGAGCACCACTTCCAGCCTTTTCTATTTATGTAGTATTGAGGAATCAGTAACCAAGGGCTTCATGCATGCTAGGCAAGCACTCTACCTCTAAGCCACATTCCCAGCCCCTTAAAACTTTTTAAATTATCCTCTTTTTTTTTTTTTTTGAGATATTGGGCTTGAATTCAGGTGCTTGTATTTGGTAAGCTCCAAGCTCACCCATTTTAGTTTGTGTGTACATGTGCTTGTGCTAATCCTATGGTCGTGGGGCCTGAACTCTGGGCCTGGGCGCTGTCCCTCAGCTCAAAGCTAGCACTCTACCACTTGAGCCACAGCGCCACTTCCGGCTTTTTTCTTTTTGCTATGTGGTGCTGAGGAATCAAACCCAGGGCCTCAGGCATGCAAGGCAAGCGCTCTACCACTGAGCCACCTTCCCAGCTGATATTGGCAATTTTCTATGTGTCATAGATCTAAGATATAAGAAAGAAGAGAGACATACCCCTACCTCCATCCTGGGGCTTGAACTTAAGGGCTGCTCACTGTCCCTGAGCTTCTTTTTACTCAAGGCTAGCACTCTACTACTTTAGCCACAGCACCACTTCCCACTTTTTCTGAATAGTTTATTGGAGATAAGAGTCTCATGGACTTTCCTGCCCAGGCTGGCTTTGAACTACAATCCTCAGATCTCAGCCTCCTGATACCTAGGATTACAGGCATGAGCCACTGGCACCCAGCTTGAGGGCTTATTTGAAAAATAGGTCTTAAGAAATCTATAATGAGAGGCTGGGAAGGTGGCTCAGTGATAGAGTATTTGCCTTGCATGCATGAGGCCCTGGGTCCAATTCCTCAGCACCACATAAGCAGAAAAGGCCGGAAGTGGCACTGTGGCTCAAGTGGTAGAGCGCTAGTCTTGAGCTGAAGAGCTGAGGGACAGCTCCCAGGCCCAGAGTTCAGGCCTCATAACCAACAAAGAAAAGAAAAGAAATCTATAATGAGGGCTGGGAAGGTGGCTCAATGGTAGAGTACATAAGGCCCTGGGTTCCTCAGCACCACATAAGCAGAAAAGTTGGAAGTGGCTCTGTGGCTCAAGTGGTAGAGCACTAGCTTTAAGCTGAAGAGCCTGAGGGACAGTGCCCAATCCCAAAGTTCAGGCACCACAATTGACAGGGGGAAAAAAATCTATAATGAAGGGCTGGGAAAGTGGCTCAGTGTTTGAGTTCTTGCCTCCAGTGCATGAAACCCTGGGTTCTATTCCTCAGTATCACATACACAGAAAAAGCCATAAGTGGCGCTGAGGCTCAAGTGGTAGCGTGCTAGCCTTGAGCAAAAGAGCCTCAGGAGCTGGGAAGGTGGTTCAGTGGTAGAGTGGTTGCCTTGCATGCATGAGACCCTGGGTTCGATTCCCCGGCACCACATAAGCAGAAAAAGTCAGAAGTGGCACTCTGGCTGAATTGGTAGAGTGCTAGCCTTGAGCTGACTGAGGGACAGTGTCCAGGCCCCACAAGTGACCAAAAAAAAAAAATGGTGGAAGCCCTCAGGGACAGTTCCCCAGCCCTGAGTTCAAGCCCAAGGACTGGCACAAAAAAAGAAAAAAGAAGTTTATAATGAAGCTGGGTGCTGGGCTCACACTTACAATCCAAGCTACTTAAGAGGCTGAGTTCTGAGAATCACAGTTCAAAGCCAGCCCAGGCAGGAATGTTGGTGAGATTCTTATTTCCAATTAAACACCAGAAAACTGGAAGTGGCACTGTGGCTCAAGTGGTAGAGTGCTAGCCTTGCTGAAGAGCTCAGGGACAGCACCCAGGCTCAGAGTTCAATACCCACAACCAACAAAAAACAAAACTAAACCCCCAAAACTACAGATTAGGATTAGAAACTGAAAACCTTCAGTTCTCAACTCTGTTCTTCATTTAGCAAAATGCAGTTCCTTCCTACTAATTTTCCTTTTTTTTTCCCCCTACAGACATTCCATACACCAAGCTTAGGTGATGAGGAATTTGAAATCCCACCTATCTCCTTGGATTCTGATCCATCATTGGCTGTCTCTGATGTCGTTGGCCACTTTGATGACCTGGCAGACCCTTCCTCCTCACAGGATGGCAGTTTTTCAGCTCAATATGGAGTCCAGACATTGGACATGCCTGTGGGCATGACTCATGGCTTGATGGAGCAGGGCGGGGGGCTCCTGAGTGGGGGCTTGACCATGGTAAGGGGCAAGTCATTATCAAACTGTCAGGCGTTGGCCAACAAAACTACTCTATTACTTGTTTCTTATTCTTAGAGATAAAGATTTCCCAACAAAGACTTAATTTTACCTGATTGAGATTTCTGTGAACTATTTTAAATTTCTTTAAAGTCCAGTGTAAACCCTAAAATGAAAGTGGTTTGATGTGATTTTTTAAAAAGTACTTTTCCCTGTTTACTACCTTCATCGTGTACAATTCAAATGGATAACTGGCACATTAAGGGATTTATTCAAAACTAGTTTGAATCAAAGGCTTGTGGATTACTATATGTTATAAACTAGTGTATACTGTGGTGTCAAAATATATCATCAAGCCAGGTGCCAGTGGCTCACACCTGTAATCCCAGCTACTCAGGAGGCTGAGATCTGAGGATTGAAGTTCAAAGCCAGCCAGGCAGGAAAGTCTGTGAGACTCTTATCTCCAACTAACCACCAGAAAACCAGAAGTGGTACTGTGGCTCAAGTGGGAGAGTGCTCGCCTTGAGCTGAAGAGCTGAGAGACAGTGCACAGGCCCAGAATTCAAACCCCACAACCAACCAAAAATTATATATGTATATGTGTGTATATATATATATATATATATATATTATGTATATGTATGTATATATGTATATTATATATGTATATATACATATTATATATGTATATATATAAAATCAGTAGCCTATCTACCATTGGTATTAGCTACTAAATCGCATATGCACTTCAGCTTAAAAAAATGTTGTTTTAAGGCTGGGTGCTGGTGGCTCACACCTGTAATCCTAGCTACTCAGGGGGCTGAGATCTGAAGATCTCTGTTCAAAGCCAGACCAGGAGGAAAGTCTGTGAGACTCTTATCTCCAATTAAGCACCCAAAAACTGGAAGTACAGCTGTGGCTCAAGTGGTAGAACACTGTATCTGAGTAAAAACAAAGACCAGGGACAACATCTTAAGCCCTGAGTTCAAGCTCCAGGTTGGGCACAATAAAGAACCCATTGTTTTATCTGGGTTGCTCATGCCTATAATCCTAGCTACTTAGGAGTCTGAGCTCTGAGGATTACTGTTCAAATCTAAGTCTGAGCAAGAAAGTCTGTGAGACTCATATCTCTAAGCACAGAAAGAAAAGGAAGGAAGGAAGGAGAGACAGAAAGGTTGCTGGGCGCCAGTGGCTCATGCCTGTAATCCTAACTACTCAGGAGGCTGAAATCTGAGGATCCGCAGTTCAAAGCTAGCCCAATACACACAGGAAAGTCCATGAGACTCTTATCTCCAATAAATCACCAGAAAACCCAAAGTGGCACTGGGCTTAAGTGGTAAGGCACTAGCCTTGAGCTGAAGAGCTGAGGGACAGCACCCAGGCCCAGAATTCAAGCCCCACAACCGACAAAAAAAAGAAAACAGAAAAAGTTTACAAGTGGAGGTGCAGCTCACGTGTTAGAGCACTTAGCTTGAGCTAGAAAGCTCAGGGAAAGTGCCCAGACACAAAATTCAGGCCCCAGAAGTGGCATACACACACACACACACCTATTGCTTTAGCTAATGGCCAATGAGTTACACACATACACATCTATTGCTTTAGAATGGCCAATGAGTTATGCTTGTAATCCCAACTACTCAGGAGGCTGAGATCTGAGGAATGTGGTTCAAAGCCAGCCTAGGCAGCAGAAAAGTCCATGAGACTTACAATATCTCTAAGTACCAAAAAAGCTAGAGATGGCTAGAGTGCTAACATTGAGAGAAAAAGCTGAGGGACAGCACCTGGGTCCTAAATTGAAGCCCCAGGACTAGCATATGCACAAATACACACACATACAGACTATAGGACATACAGTTGGAGAGTTTCTTTACACCATGTTTTCTCTTCAAGTTAATCTTTTCAAGGTTAAGACTTTTCTATTTATTTTAGATTAGGACTTTAAGTACAAAGAAATAAAATTTGAGTACAAAATTAGTGACACTAATCTGTATTTAGGAAAAAACTTATTGATATATGTCACATTTTTTCTTTTTTGTCAGTGGTGGGCTTGAACTCTGGGCCTGGGCACTGTACCTCAGCTCTTCAACTCAAGGCTAGCGCTCTACCACTTGAGCCACAGCGCCACTTCTGGTTTTTCTGATGGTTTATTGGAGATAAGAATCTCATGGAAGCCGGCGCCGGTGGCTCACGCCTGTAATCCTAGCTACTCAGGAGGCTGAGATCTGAGAATCGCGGTTCAAAGCCAGCCCAGGCAGGAAAGACCGTGAGACTCCTATCTCTAATAAACCACTAGAAAACCGGAAGTGGCGCTGTAGCTCAAGTGGTAGAGCGCTCGCCTTGA